CTCATTAATGGTCTTCAAACTACTTTTATATTTACTGAGGATGTGAAAGGTGCTGTAAGTTTTTTTTTATTTTCCATTTCCAATATATAAAGCCCAGGTTTTAAAAAATTCTTAACTATAATTATTTATTTCTGGTATCATTCGAGACACCATTCAGTGACTCAAATAATCCTATAACGTGGTGCATGAACAGAATAATAGCATCCTAGCTAATGTTACAGACAAATTCAGATTCAATGACTTCACTCAGAATCCTATTTGCATGTTTCTGGAATTTTCGATACGTATTTCCACCACTGAAAGGTGGGAATCCAAAGTTAGCTGTTTTTGTCAAAATGTAATCCTTCAAATTTCTCTCCAATGCTTCTGTCAATCTATTAATCTACCCCTTTTCCTTCAATGGTCTCCCTCTCTCTGCTCCTCACTTTACACACTGTCTTGCATTCCTCTTTCACCTCTCATTGCCCATAGAAGGTGGACACAAGCTGGCCAAGCAGCACATAGACTGTGTGGGTACAAACAAGATTTGTAGGAAGGTGTAAGCAGGTATAAATATTGATTAGGTAGGTGAACACGTGGGCTTAGAAATAATTAGAGCAGCCAGGCAGATAAAAATTAAACACTGGTAGCCACGACAGCAAGCTACAAAATGCTTCAGCAATAAAGCATTCTGAGCTTATGAACAGGCTGAGGTGCACTCAGAATAAGAATAGGCAGCTGAATATATATGATGAAAAGTATGTACTGAACTAGTGTGCAAATGAGTAGATGGCTGTAAAAGGAGAGGGAGCAGGAGGACTTGTATTGGCTTTTTTTTTCGGAAAATGCAAAGCATCACTGGTAGCAACACTAAAGATTGAGCTCAGTGATAACTGCTGCTTGGTCTGCCAGTGGATGGAAAATAATCAACTTCCCCAAAGACAGAACATGTTATAGAAACACAGGAAAAGGCCATTCAACGTTTCGAGCCTGTTCTACCATTCGGTGAGATCATGGCTGATCTGTGGCTGATCTCTCTCATATTTAAAATTTAAGATTTAAAAACAACTGATCCAGCATTCACTGCCCTTTGTGTCGAGAAGTACACCTTAAAATTGCTGACATTTGTAACATGTAAAAACCTCAGCCTGACATCCAGCCAGACTGTCCATGTTAGGAGTACACAGTCCAAGCACATGTGCAGTAACTCCATTATTGCTTAGTTTGTTCTGCAGTATGATCAACGATATGGGAAGTCAGCATGCATCCAAGATCAGCTTCTGCTGCATAAGCACATTTGACAAAATTGGGGGGGGTTTCCACAATAAAATTTCACTGTTTAACTTCAGTTTCTGTGGTGCCCTTCTTTCTAAAAGATATTTTCAACTGAAAATTTCAAATTAAGTTGAAAAAATATTATATCAATTTAATTTTGAAGAAGGGTCACTGTACCTAAAAATGTTAACTTTGCTTTGTTTCCATAGATACTGCCAGACCTGCTGAGTTTTTCCAGCAATTTCTAATTTCCAGCATCCACAGTTCTTTGTTTTCTTTTACATCCATTTAGTTATTTTTGGAAAATCTGACCATTTACATCAGATTGTGAAGGAGTAGTTGTGAAATAGTTTCGGAATGGAAAGAACTATCTAGTGACGATTCATCTGAAATTATTAGTCACAAGCTAACTTTACACTTTATATAACAGGAATTACGCATTTTATTTAGAACAAAATATAGTCTCAGTCAGGAAGATGAACATGCTTAGCTTAGCAGTTTTTTGAAAATAAAACACTAAGAACTTTTGAGCTGCTTCCTTTCAGTAAAGGAGATCTACCTGCATGAAAATTAATGTCAATGAACTAATCTCACTGAAATTCAACTATTAGCTCAAACTGAGAGTATTTTTCCTTAACTGCAGTAAAAGTGGACTGCTATATGTTTATCTTCTAATTAAAATCAGACTTTCAATCCTGGGAAAGGGGCAAAATCTTGCTCTGATGAATATGGGCCTGGTGCTTAGGATAAAACGGAGTCTGCAGCAGAAACATCAAATACAATAGCTGCAAATGGAATCAGGGAGTCTTATCTTGCAGTTTAACAGATAGTAGCCCACATCCATGCCTTTGTAACTTTTAGACTTGATTATTGCTATGATCCTGACCGCACTGGCAACTTGAAGTTATGATTCTGGATAATACCATCAAATTATTTTATGTTCTGGTTAGAAACCAGTAACCTCTTATCTTTAAAGAGGACAAAAGATGAAATCCAGTGGTGCTACAATGAGAACAAAGCACAGATTCCACAGATTTGAACAACAATACTTCACAAGCTAGAACAGTAATATAATCTACAATACAAATACAATTAAATAAATACCCAGTAAATATGTGTGGTAAACATATAAAGTATACTGTAATCAAACACTTCACAGTGCACATCAAATAACAAAAGCTTTGTTTGCGAGTTGTAAAGGCAGATCATAGTAAGCAAGGACATACAGATCATAGATAACAAGGTGTGGAGCTGGAGGAACATAGCAGGCCGGGCAGCATCAGAGGAGCAGGAAAGCTTATGTTTCAGGTTTGGACCCTTCTTCAGAAATGGGGGAGGGGAAGGGAGCTCTGAAATAAATAGAGGGGGTCGTGGTGATAGAAGGTGGATAGTGGAGCGGATAGGTGGGAGAGAAGACGGACAGGTCTAGGAGGTGGGGATGAAGCTTGTAAAGGTGAGTGTAGGTAGGAAGTGGGGATGGGGGTTGGTCAGTGAGGAGGAAAGGGCAGATAGGTGGGAGAGAAGACGGACAGGTCTAGGAGGTGGGGATGAAGCTTGTAAAGGTGAGTGTAGGTAGGAAGTGGGGGTGGGTGTTGGTCAGTGAGGTGGGAGGAGCGGATAGGTGGGAGCGAAGATGGACAGGTCTAGGAGGCAGGGATGAGAGGGGGTGCTGGTCTTGGGATGAGGTCAGGGGTAGGGAGATTTTGAAGCTCATCCCAACCTCATCCCAGCCCAATCCACAACCCCCCTTCCCTTCCCCCTCTCCCATTTCTGAAGGGTCCAGACCCGAAACGTCAGCTTTCCTGCTCCTCTGATGCTGCCTGGCCTGCTGTATTCCTCCAGCTCCACACTTTGTTATCTCAGACTCCAGCATCGGCAGTTCCTACTATCTCATACATATCATAGGGTGTTTAGATAGAAGGAGGCATTACAGGTTAAACTGCACAGGAGGTGCACAAAGCAAGATCAACGTTATATGAAGTTAGAAAGCCCATTCATCAGTCTAAGGACAGCAGGGAAGAAGCTGTTCTTGAACCTGTTGGTGTGGGTGTTCAGGCTTTTGTATCCTCTGCCTGACGGAAGAGGTTGTAGGAGAGCGTTACTGGGGTGGGAGGGGTCTTTGATGATATTGGCAGCCTTTCCACGGCAACGATAAGTGTAAATGGACTCCATGGGTGGGTGGTTGGCTTCCATGATGATTTGAGCTGTGCACACAACCTTCTGTAGTATCTTACGGTCCTGGGCAGAGCAGTTGCCATACTAGGCCGTTATGCACTCGGACAGTATTGCCTGGGTCCGAGGTTGTGTGTGTGTGTGTGTGCACGTGCGCGTGTACGTGTGCGTGTATTTAACAGTCAAAGCACTTCAAACAGTTGAACACTTGTTGAATTAACAAGAATACACAGTCTTTTAAAACTCTGTTGTGGTCAAACAAGGAGTGGGAAAAGAGAGGAATCATTTTAACTCTTCTCCCCAGCCATCATAGTGCAACTCACCAATACAAAATTTAAACTCTGTTTCTGGATTTTCAGATCAGTACCAAAATCACTAGATTGTCATACCACTTAATTTTATAGGTGAACACTAGACCATATTAAAGTAATGGAATTATTTTAATTTTTTTTTGCTTTTATCTTCCTCAATCCTGCTACTATATGCTTGCTTGCTTTGAAATGATACATCGCATAATACAATTCAACAGTTGTCATCACTCAATGCCAAGTGCACTTCCATGTACGTGGGCATATCATGAAATCCTACAAATGCCTTGGCCGATGCATATCCATGCATTAATTGACCTTTAATATATCTTATGTAGACTCCACTAGACAAACCCCCAGTGTACTATTGAGGGATGTCTACAACAATGAAAATCCTATCATTTGGCTAAGACTTTAGTTGAGCTGCTGTCTATATGGTCAAGTGGTTGTTAATAATACTCTGGTGTTAATCAAAAGGTAGGGGAATGCTTCCTCGGTCATCCAGAATCATTCCCCCATCACAATCATCAAAAAATAGATTACCTAATCACTCAGCCCACTTAAGTGCAAATTCACTGTCCTATTTAGCCAGCTAGAAACAAATACTACATTTCAAGTTAATTTACTGCACATGAAACACTTTGAGATGTCCTTGAAGATGTGACAAAGTGCTATGTTACTTTACATACCTCAAATGTAAACTTTGCAGATGAGAAATCTATTGAAATAAGTTTTATGCACTTATTACACTTTTAATGTCATGCTGCAAGGCATTAAAGGTCTCAATTTAAGAAAAATCATGATTTAATGCTTTTCTTTTTCCTGACCCGGTGCTGGAATTTAAGAGCACTGTCCAATCTGGAAATACTTTTATTAAACAGCAGTTAAATTACCACTGACCTCAAGAAATGTTTACTTAAATAAAAATGCTGTGTGATTAAAGGATCAGGTCAGTTTAAACACATCTGCATCTTACAGTAAACTGTGCATGGCATGGTATTAAGCACCTGCCAACATGGCAGACTGCCAAATATAGATAAACTGCTGAGCATCACACTAAAAAAGCCAAATCTACAAGAGCAAAGCACAGTGGGTCAGCTTCTTGTTGCTTAGTGAGAGGAAATTTTCTGCTCAAAGATGGGGCCACACAGCATATTATCTGATTTACCTTAAGCAACATCAAGAGATATCCACTGTAAAAAAACAGAAACCACCTTGACTGAATATTCTTTACTGTACCATCTTGAACAGAAAGTACCAACTTACCCTTGATCGAATCTTGAACTGTTCAAATAAATTCAGAGAACGTCTATATCGTATTGTTACCGCACCAAGCACCATATTAGCTTTTAACTTCCTTGTTACTTGGAATATACCATTGCGGATGTACAGCGAGAACCTGGAAAATATATACATTTTAAGGAGGATGTTGAAACCATTTCACAATTATTCATAAGTGTACAAAGTTCTGAAACAAACTGTTCCTTTGAAATAAATCTGATTTACACTTGGATGTAAATCTGACTTATTTCAAAAGGAACAGTTTGAAATAATCTTGATATCTTGTTTCAGTTAGTAAAAAATGAGCTACAACAGGGAAAAAAATTGAGAGAAAATACTGCAATACTGTTAGTGTGATGGCTAATCTAAAATGACAACTGACAACAGTGTTCAATGAACCTCCCCTTTGGTCACCAAAATACAAAACATAAATTGTCTGCCAGACATGCACACCACAAATCAGAAATGAACTGTCAAATCATTTGTGATTGAGTCAATTTTTTTTAATTCATTCATGGCAGTGGGCATCAGTGGCCAGGCCAGCATTTATTACCCATTTCTGGTTGCCCTTGAGAAGATGGTTGTGAGCTGTCTTCTTGAATTGCTGTACTCAATTTGGTGTAAGTAGATCTACAGAGCTGTTAGGGAAGGATTCCAGAATTTTGAGCCAATAACACTTGAAAGAGTGGTGATTTATTTCTAAGTCAGGAAAGATCCTTGGAGGGAAACTTGCAGGAGGTGGTATTCCTATGTACTCAGTTCTGAGGAAGGGTCACCAGACCCAAAACGTTAACTCTGATTTTTTCTTCACAGATGCAACCAGATCTGCTAAGCTTTTTCAGCAACTATAGAAAAGCAATTTATTGTTACGAATTTTTACAAAAAAATGAAACTTTTTATAGCATACCATGGCACCTAAATTGAAGTCCTAAATAAGAAAAAGTAGTAAAAGTTCATCCCAGTTCAATTAATAACTCCTGGTTTCAGGGTATGCTGAAAGACCGGGTCAAATCCACCATGTAGGATCAGGCTGAGACCGCCATGCCAAGACGAGACCTCCTTGTTGGACCGCTGGAAGACTCAGAGACCGTCTCCGAAGCAAGGACGAGATCTCCATGCCAAGATGAGACCTCCGTGCTGGGACTAGACCTTCATGCCAGACTGCTGAAATACTCGGACTGGACGAGACCTCCACGCTGGCACAAGAATGCCACACTAGGCCTAGACCACCTCACAGGAAGACCACCCCACTAGGGCTATACCGCCATTCTGGGCCATTGGAAGCCACCTCATTGCTGGGCCTGGGCTGGGAGAAAATGCTTTCTGGCGAAGTCATTAAAAGAAGGGAAGGTACCATGATAAATGAAGACATTAAAAAAAAGCAAAGAAAGAAAGAAAAAGTAAAGCGGATGGAGTAGACGAGTTCCAGGATCCTGGGCTGAGGAACCTGCACATTAAGCTGCTACTCTGCCACCATCTTGGGAAAAAATAATTAGTAAATAAGATATTAGTGAACCAGATGAGTATTTATGACAATTGGTGGTGGCTTACATTCATCATCCAGGTTTTTCAAATTCCACCATTTGACATGGTGGGATTCAAACCAAAGTCTGCAAAACAATACATCTGTCTCCGGATTATTTGTCCCGTGACTATACCACCACACCATCACCTCTCTCAATTTTGGTTTTCTCTGTATCAGCATAATTTGGTCATCACAGGCTGTCTGACTCTCTGGTTTTGCGTTTTTTTCTGTTAGAAATGAGGTCAGAAATTAAGCAAGGAACCATGCCATTGTCAATAATCTGAAAGACTGTAATTATTCTGTAATATGTAGCTATACGACTCTATCTGCTTATTGTGCACTTTGATTTCTGTCCTGGCCTCAAGCTTTTCTTTCACATGTGTTAAAACCTTCCATTCATATTCTAGTCCCTCCTGCTTCACTGGCTATTAGTTTGCTTTCCACCACTGATCAACTCCAAAGCACAGAAAGAAAGGAAAAGACGAGATGACTGTGTTATAAAGCATATGAGTAAAAAGATAGTGAATAACAATCTTAGTTCAGAGGATCATAATGTAGAATCTGCTGGGATTAACATAAGAAACAAAAAAATGTCACTGTTGGAATGGATTACAGACCCCCTGTCAGAAGCTACAATGTAGGACAGAGTATAAAGCAAGAAATAATGGGAGCTTGTAAGAAATGTATTGTTACAATCTTGGGAGACTGTAATTGTTATACAAATTGGACAAACTAAATTGGCAAAAGCAATCTTAAGGATAAGTACATAGAATGTGTTCAGGAAATTTTCTTTGAACAATATACTTTGCCCAACCAGGGAACAGGCTATTTTAAACTTGGCAATGCACAATGAAACAGTAATAATTAATGACATTACTGAAATATAACTATAATGACTCCTTCTACCTTATCAGGCAATTTTGACTTCTGTTACAAAAGCTTTGTAAGATGATAATGTTTAAGTGGTCTCCATTTATCAACAATCACATGGAATAGTTTAGAGAGAGGAATGAAACCTCAAGGAATGCAACCTTCCTTCAGCAGTTGCTGTAAATTGTGATTTAGCCAAAACTGGTAAGATTCAGACCAAAATGTTTATTCAACCACTGTCTTTTTCTCAAATTATACGGTAATTTCTCTTATCCCTGCCTCTAATGCAACTGAAAACTACTTCCTGTGTCAAACTTATAGCTGGAGAATGATGAGCTTTTTTTAAACTTTTCATTCTTTGCCTTTATTTTAAATTTATTTTTATCCAACTTGTGCACTTCTTGCCTAATAGTTAGAACACTCTACTTGATCTCCATCCCAAAGATTTACATACCTTTTGATTTTCCCTTTGACCCTGTGGGTAATCTGTTTGCAAATAGTTTATGTCTACCTCATATCACGAGTAGGATTATAAATTTATCATATTGGAAATTGCAGACTTAAACTGGCTTCCTTCCAACATGATGCAGCACACCACATTTAAGCTTCAGCACAACACACTTCCTAATTTGGCTTTAATACATCTGTGGTTTAACCTGTAAAAGCTAAAAAATAACCCCGAAATAAAATAAATTAGACACATTTGCAGTACAAGCCAGACACTGCATGCTAGTGATACAGATGAACTGTAAATGAAGGCACAGGGAAAGAAATCAGAAAAACCTTATGGGTGCCTCTTCCAGCCATTGCAATTACCAATCAAAATACATTTCAGGAAAACATAGCAATTTTAACCAGAACACGGAACAATGCCCCGGAAGTTGAAATTGCAGGCCCAATAATTTAAATGTGATGCACATAGCATGGTTAATGATAACGGAATATAGAAAAATAAAGTCTGGTTAACTTACAAGCCGCTTAGTCAACGATCATATTTCGCTAGCCAAGGAAACCATGCAGCAAAATTCCAACCCCAACCTGACCACCACCCAGAATTCAGAACAGCAAAACAATTAAGATATGTTTGAAGAAATTTTATAGTGAAGTCATTACTAAGTAATGATTACTTAAATCAGTCATGGTACTCTGGCTGACAGAACTAGAAAACAAGGAGTCAAAAAAGGTGTATACAGAATCAGGCTTGTTACACAAAATGCTATAAAAAATGGTTCATTATCTGTAGAAAGAGAAGACTAACAATTGAAGACAATTAATAAGGCTTTTACAGAACAGCATGCTCAATAAAGACATGCTTATCACATTGACTTTGAAGACTAATCACCATTTTGTAGAATTTGAAGTGAATGGCAATTACTACAAATGAACCAAGATTAAAATTATGATAATCAAGAGGATTTTTGTCATCAAGAAATATTGGGCTTCAATTATTAATAATTTTATTAAAGCAAGCTAAAGAATCAAGATGCAGGCTCTTAGTGCTGATGTAGACTTCTCATTTCAAGCAACCAGAGTCAGCATGCACACTCTGAGATTACCTATATCACGGTCACATTTAGATTAATTTTTCCTCTACAACGTTCAAATAAAGTGCCTGAGCTACTATCTATGAAGAACACAACTGTCATATTTTCAATTTTCTGTATTAACTATCCTCTGACAGCCTAAAGTGAGCTTTCTAGTCAGTGTCAAATTGTGAGCAAGTTAGTACTGTTGATTATAGTCGTTCCAGACATAATTGCCCAAACGAACATCATACATAACTCGAGTTGGGAGCCCGAGAGAACACTGACTCCGGTTATCCGCTCGTATAGACAGGAGAAGAGTGAATTCTCGTACCTCGTTACGACCTACCAGGGGAAAGTCATACTGACCAGGTCTCTGGCACTGAGCCTGACTCTGCGGCTCAGAAGGGAAGGGGGCAGAATAGGAGAGCGACAGTGATAGGAGATTCTGTGGTACTGAGACACCCGGATGGTACTTTGCCTCCCGGGTGCAGGGTCAGGGATGTCTCAGATCAAGTTTTCAGGATTCTTGAGGGGAAGGGAAAGCAGCCAGAAGTTGTGGTACACATTGGTACCAATGACATAGCTAGGAAACGGGATGAGGACCTGAAAAGTGAATATAGGGAGTTAGGATTGAAGCTGAAAGCCAGGACGAGCAGAGTAGTAATCTCAGGATTACTACTGGTGCCACGGGCTAGTGAGGCCAGAAACAGACAGCGAGTGCAGCTGAATACGTGGCTGCACAGCTGGTGTAGGAGGGAGGGCTTCAGGTTTGTGGATCATTGGGATACCTTCTGGGGAAGGTGGGACCTGTACAGGAAGGACGGGTTGTACCTGAACTGGAGGGGCACCAATATCCTGGGTGGGAGGTTTGCTAGAGCTCTTTGGGAGGGTTTAAACTAGTTTAGCAGGGGGATGGGAACCACAGCTACAGATCAGAGGATGGGGTAGCCGGTGTACAGGCTGATAAAGCATGCAGAGAATCTGTGAGGAAGGAGAAGCAGTTGATAGGGCAAAGTGCAGTCAGTACAATGGGTTGAGGTGTGTCTACTTCAACGCAAGACGTGTCAGGAATAAGGGTGACGAACTTAGAGCATGGATCAGTACTTGGAACTACGATGTTGTGGCCATTACGGAGCCTTGGATAACACAGGGGCAGGAATGGTTGTTGGATGTTACGGGGTATAGATGTTTCAAAAG